CATTTGCTTAGAAAGGAACGAAATAAAAATCAGATAGAACCATGGGTTGCCTTAAATGTCAAGAATTGAGTATCAATAATATTGATTCACCTTACGGTATGAATATGAGAGCATACTATTTTGCTACTAAGAGACCTGAAGTCGTTTAGTATCTACGACATGAATGTAAAGGTTTATCATCATTATGTAAACCACGTTAGAAAGTATATTGCTCTGTCTCTGTTAAGCGTACTGTGATGACGATGATAACGATATAACAAGAAATGCTTTATTTTTTTGATATGTATGTTTTGAACTAGTAAATGACTGTCTATATATATATATCAAAGTATTCATGACATCTTTAGCACAAGGCCCTTTGCCCGGGGGTAATAATACCGTGGTTCAGGTATTACTGGAAGTCCCTTTACGGAACTAAAAGGTATGCTCTATATTGATTTATTAGCGCTATTGAATGTACCATGTATAGTCAAACATGAATTCTGATTTCTGTTATGATTCAAGCATAATTAAGAACATGTATGACCTTGTTTTTGTTTATCCGTTCTGTTTATGTTATGCACTGACATAATATGAATTATTCGGTCTTCACGACCTATTTCGGGTATGGAACAAAGTGTTGTATGGAACTAAGTGCTGCAATGCGAGTCACCTCTAGAATCCGTGCGAGCCACCTCTTGAGTCCATACATACATGAACTAGGCTTAAACCCAATCTGGGCCAGAGGCCATTCTGTATTTCTAATATGGAACAAAGTGTTGTATGAAGCTAAGTGCTGCAAGGCGAGCCACCTCTAGAATTCGTACGAGCCACCTCTTGAATCCATACACATGTGAAAGTTATAAGGCCTATGGCCATTCTGTATAAGTTGTTATGATATGAAGCAAAGTGCTACGCGGAACTAAGTGCTACGTTGTGAGTCACCTCTAGAATCCGCGTGAGACACCTCTTGAATTCATACCAGTATGCTCAAGGGCTTAACGCCAAATTATCCAAGGGCTTGATGCCACTATGTTTAAGGGCTTCGCACCACAATGTTCAAGGGCTTTACGCCACTCTATTCAAGGGCTTACAACCATTATGCTTCAAGATGTTATGTTTCAAGCCATTATGTTTAAAGTTTAAGCCTAAGACCATTCTAGAAATAATTACAAGATTAAGTTAACTATGTGTTCTCTGTACTTATGTTTGTACATTATAATTCAAGTTAATCATTAAATTGTTTACGTACCACTATTCACTGAGCTTGACTCACCCTGTGTTATGTTTATTCTGTAGGCACTCCATCTGGAGGTCAATCAAAACCCGTGGCATCCGTTCCTCTTTTGTCAACCCCGGAGTGTCCAGGCACTTAAGTGAAGGCAACCATTTTATGAAGTTTTGCTAAGCTTTTGGTTTTGTACCCTGATTGTTTGTCTAAGGTTGTAGTGTATATAATCCTTTTACTTCTTATTGTTTTTGTTATGCCCAATTATAAGGGCTGGGTCTATATATGTATATGTCCATAGCTAAATTCTCAAATGCATGCCACTGTATGTGTGTTTGCCTTATATTCTGTTTGTGATCCTGGCTTTTTAGTGGTTGCTCAATGGATATAGTTCTTTTATTTCTGTTAATTTATATTGTTAAATGCTTCCGTTCAAGCCCCATATGTTATGTATATCAGGTTAAGTGTCCATTTTTGCTTAAGTCATGCCCGAACTTTTAGGGGCGAGTTTGGGCCTTGACAAAACCCAAGCCCAAGTGGGTTAGGTGAATTTGTGGGTAAGCCAATCAAGCCCAACTTCATGATCAACAGTCCACCCAAGTCCTCAAGCACTTGAGCCCAACTCATAGTGGAAAGGTCGGTCCAGCCGTGACGGTTGGGCCGAGCTGCAGGACTTGATCTTTGGACCGACCTGATGGGCTGAACCCATCACCAAAAACCAAAATGGGCCAGCCCACACAAAGATATCTAAATGGGCCAACCCGTCTCTACAAACAGTCTCACAAAGGGCCAAGTTGAGGCACAACGGAGCTGAGGAAACCTCTTAGAGAAACGTGGAAGCTATGAATGTATGCATGTGCAGGCTGCCACCTCAGCTGGTCCCCTCCCCCTAGAATTATGGAAATGGTTAATCAAGGGAATGTGGTTTGTTATCCGCATGGAGACAAGTATATGCATCCATTGTCAAGTACCTCATGGTCCCCCACCTTGAGCAATGTTAAAGGGAGCATGGTAGCACAAAAGTCTCATGAAACCATCTTGGACAACAAGTAAGGAGTTCTATATAAACTATAAGGACTTCACATTGAGGGTAACTAAGTGGAGCTATAATATACTCACTTGAACACAACTCTCGACACTTAGAGGGCACATCCCATCTTCGCCGATCACTTACTCCCACACCGGAGGGGTTATCCGGCCAGTTCCGGCTGGGCAGCTCTAACGGTGCTCATTGTTGCAGGGACTCAATTCCTGGATAGTCCAGTTGGGTGCAGAGGTCCGGTCCACAATCATCTAGTGCGGTATTTAGTACGCACAATTGGTGCGGTAAACGTGGATCTTTATCTTTGAGTTCTACATCTGATTCCGACAATGAGAATTGAGGATATTCCACCCTTGGCATTAACTCCACAAATGGAGAAGACGATGGATAAGGGCCTAACACTGCCAGCAGCTTTGGAGGAGCAGATCGGAAACAACAACCGTATTCCGGAATTTATTGAGCATCGACAGCCCTTTGTTGGTGGTTCGTCCCACAAATTTTTGTTGTAGAAAGACTATAGGGATCATATCATCGATTCCATGGGAATGGAGATACATGAACTAAAAGTGCAGCTCAAAAAGATGATGGGCGACCTGACAGAGAAGAGCATTGACACAAAACCCTCTCGTCTACACCGGAGGAGCCCATCCCTAGAACCACAAATGAAGAAGGTCCCCAGAAACCAGTCTAGGCAGCAAAGTCAGCCAATCCTGGTGCAAAGTGAAACAGCGAGTAGCCACACCCGTGGTTCACGCCGGAGAAGAGCTAAAAGGCAGAAAACGACTAGCAAGCAAACAGAGTATCCTCCTCAGGATCTCCGTACTTGTTTGGTCGGGAATAGACAAAATGAGCAATGACGAGAGCGTCAGGCTCAACACCTTGATCGTACTGTCCATCAGAGAGAGCACCGAGCACTGGATCGACTCGTCTCCTCTCCTTTCTCCCCATATATCGACACTATGAAACCCCCCAAGAAGTTCACTCCACCAAAATTCACGTCATATGATGGAAAGCCAGACCTGTTAACACATATCAGCCACTATCGGCAAATGATGTCCTTGTGAAGCCAAGATGAGGCACTAGTGTGCATAGTTTTTCCATCCAGCCTAGGAGAATCCGGACTCCGATGGTTCGATCGTCTCCCTACTAGATCGATTTACGATTGGAAGCAGCTCTCTGAAGAGTTCATGGCCAAGTTTGTTTCCAACACCAGAATTCCAAAAGAGTTGGACACCTTGTTCGGTCTCCGAAAGGAACAGAAGGAAACACTACGTAATTATACAAGAAGGTACTGGGAATAGTATAATGATTTGGAGGAAAATGTTTGCAGTGAACAGATGGCTGTAATGTCTTTTAAACATGGTCTACGTCCAGAAAGCAAGTTGAGACAATCACTTACCAAACGCCCAGCCACAGCACTGAAGGACTTACGTGTCAGGATTGAGCAGTACGCTCGCCTTGAAGATGATCAGATCCCCACTGAGGTGGCATCGGCTGAACAGACAACTCGGGGAAACAAAATAAGAGCAGATCAAGGGGAACCCCGAGGAGTTGCAGTGAATGAAGTAGACAAGTCTAAATCCCACGTAGCAGTAGTTACAGTCTTCAAAGAACCTATCTATCATATTATGGAGAAAATCAAGAGAGAGTCGTTCTTTACTTGGCCACCAAAGATGCTAGGAGACCTAGCTCGGCGCAACCAAAAGCTCAGATGGACCTATCATCAGGACAAGGGGCATATGACTCAAAACTGCCGAGCATTGAAGCAACACCTAGAGGACTTGGTAGCTGTTGGGCACCTCCAAGAATACATTGATCCAGACAAAGTGGTAACCGAGCAGGAGAACCCCCCACCAGAACCAAACGCAGAGCATTTGCCTCGATTGGTCATAAATGTAATTCATGGCACAACCGGTCACGAGCGAGAATAGATAGTTTAGGAGGAAATTGCAAAGGTCGTGCAGATTCAGCAAGTCATGTCAGTGGGTCCAGCATCGAAAAAGGTACGAACAATACCTAAGACTCCTTTATGTAATGTTTCATTTACTAAGAAGGACTTAGAAGGCATTCAGAACCCACACACTGATGCATTGATTATAACTATGGGAATTGAAAAACGCTTTGATGTGAAATGAGTCTTGGTAGACCAGGGTAGCGCAACAAATATATTGTATTACGACTTGTTCAGAAAGCTTGGTCTCTCTGGGCAGGACCTCACCCCAACAGCAGCACTGTTGGTCGGTTTAAATTCGTAGCCTGAGTGGCCACTCAGCAGGATAGTGCTGCCTGTAATGGCTGGGACAAAGACCCTTCAGATAGAATTCCTGGTTATCAACACATTGTCTCCCTACAATTCCATACTTGCTTGGCCTTAGATTCATCAAATGGAAGCAGTCCCCTCAACCTACCACCAGCTTCTCCTCTTCTTGACGTAACACGGAGTAAAGCAGATCTCAGGGGACCAAGTTGCCTCGAAGCATTGTTTCATGGCAGCCATGAAGGCTAAACAGCTCTACAATCGTGTTTAAACAGTTGAAGTGGCAGAGCAGTCGGTCCTCGTCGGAGGAACCCTAGTTGAGAAGATAGTAGAGGATTTGGAGAAAGTTTTAGTAAAATAGGGAGACCCAGAGAAGTACTTTCTTATCAGTACCTCACTAAGCGCCGATGAGAAACTTTAATTGCTGGATTTACTAAAGGAAAATATAGAGGTATTCGCATGGTCAACATATGATACTCCGAGGCTAAATCCAGAATTTGCTTGTCATAAGCTTAACGTCAACCTTTCTGCTCGGCCTATTGTACATAAAGGCCGAAGATCTTCAGTTGAGCATATCGAGGCAGTCATTGCGAAAATCGACAAACTTCTAGTGGCGGGGGCAATTCAAGAAATTCAATACCCACAGTGGCTGTCCAACACAATCGTAGTAAAAAAAAAAAAAAATGAAAAGTGGAGAGTCTGCATCGACTTTACTTGCCCCAACAGAGCTTGTCTAAAAGACAGCTTCCCTCTTCCTCGCATAGACCAGTTGGCAGACTCAATAGCGGGGCATGAGCACAAGAGTTTTCTAGACGCTTACAGCGGCTATCACCAGATACCTCTGTTCAGCCCAGATCAAGAGAAAATGACATTTATTACTCAAGAGGCACCTACTGCTATAAAGTAATTCTATTCGGCCTTAAAAATGCCGGAGCAACCTACCAGCGAATGGTAACTCGAATGTTCAAAGAGTAGCTCGGTCGGACTATGGAAGCATACATAGATGATATGGTAGTAAAAAACAAGCTTGCTACAAACCACTTCACAGATTTAAGAGAAGTTTTTGATATCCTGAAAACCCATCAATTTCGCCTCAATGCCTCAAAATGTGCTTTGGAGGGAGAAGGAAGTTCTTGGGGTACATGGTGACTCGTAGAGGAATTAAAGCGAATATGGATCAAATCAAAGAAATACAAGAGCTTGGAGTACCAACAAAGGCCAAGGAACTACAGAAATCAACTGGGATGGCGGCAACCCTGAATCAATTCATTAGCAAATCTTCAGACCGAATGAAGCCTTTCTTTCAGCTATTGAGAGAAAAGGTTGCATTCGAGAGGGGTTCTGAATGTACTAAAGCACTACAAGACCTCAAGAAGTACCTCAGTACACCACCTCTCCTTTCCACTCCAGAACTAAGGGAAGAACTATACCAGTATTTGGCAGTTTCAGATCATGCAATAAGCGCAGTACTGATTCGTGAAGTTGAAAAGGAACAGAGGCTGGTATACTACGTTAATAAGACTTTCTTGGATGCCGAGATGAGGTGCCTACCATTGGAAAAGCTGGCATACGCCTTGCTTATCGCCTCAGGGAAACTATTACATTATTTTTAGGGGCACACAATCAATGTCCTCACTGAATTCCCTCTCAGGTCTGTCTTCGACCGGGCTGACTTCTCAGGTCGAACAGCGAAATGGGTGGTTGAGCTTGGTGAGTTTGACATTCGGTATCAACCCAGAACAGCAATCAAGGCCCAAGTCTTGGCAGATTTTGTCTCTGAATTCACCCCCACTCAAGGCATCGAACATCAGAACTCCAGCTCGGTACAGGTGCCATGCACCGCCGAACTGGGAAAATAATATGCTACAGAAGCATGGAAACTCTTCATTGGTGATATCTGGCAACTTTATGTTGACTGATCATCCAATAACCAAGGCTCAGGGGTAGAAGTAGTACTCATATCTCTAAAAGGATTCATCTGGGAGCAAGCTTTGAGGCTTGGCTAGAAGGCCTCTAACAACCAGGCAGAATATGAAGCACTATTGGCTGGATTGCGCAGTGCTGAACACTTCAGTGCAGATCAACTCTTGGTTTTTAGTGATTCTCAATTGGTTGTCAATCAACTCACTGTGATCTATCCAGCAAGAGATAAAAGAATGGCTATATATGCAGACAAGGAAAAAGATTTACTTAAGAAATTCTAATCCATACGAGTGGAACGGATCAGTCGGGACAGAAACAGTCATGCTGATGCTCTAGCCTGCCTTGGCTCGTCAGTGAATACTAAAGATGCTAGAAAAGTTTGGGTTGAGTTTGTGTCAGAAACAAGCATTGCAACTCCATATTCGGTCCTCTGCACTAACCTGGAACCGAGCTGGATGGATCCAATACTTGTTTTTCTAAGATCTGGCATTCTCCCCGACAACAAGAAAGAGGCAAACAAAGTTCGTCATCGATCAGCTCGGTTCTGGATCTCACTATCTGGGAAATTGTATCGACGTTCTTACCTTAGCCCTTATCTGCTATGTGTGCATCCAAATCTAGTCGAGAATGTTCTCTATGACATTCATGATGGGATTTGTGGAAGCCACGTTGGGGGAAGGTCACTGACGCACTGTGCCCTTACTAATGGGTATTGGTGGCCATAGATGCAGCAAGATGCACAACAGTACGTTCAGAAGTGTGATAAGTGTCAAAGATTTGCTCCACTAATTCATCAGCCAGCCAAAAATCTTACTCCACTTACTAGCTCATGGCCTTTCGCTCTGTGGGGCTTGGACATCGTTGGACCTTTGACATGGGGGATTGGGAACAGACGATTCTTTATCGCTGCAACCGATTACTTTACCAAGTGGGTGGAAGTTGAAGCATTGGCAAGCATCAAAGAAACAGACACAAAGCAGTTTGATATGAGGAATATCGTGGTCCGTTTTGGTATCCCACGGGTACTGATTACCGACAATGGAACGCAATTTGACGAAAAGATTTTCAAGAAGTTTTGTGTCAATCTCAGGATTGAATATCAAAATTCCTCTCCAGGCTACCCACATAGCAGTGGGCAAGTAGAGTTGTCAAACAAGACCATCATTAACGGGGTAAAAAAGCGTCTTGAAAGTGGAAAAGGCAAGTGGCTCGAAGAGTTTTCCCATGTGTTATGGGCCTACCGAACCACATCACGACGTTCAACGGAGGAAACACTCTACTCTTTCACCTACGGAATGAAGGCTGTTATTCCACTAGAAGTCGGTCTCCCAACCCTCCGATCAGAATTGTTTGAAGATGTAAATAATGAGGAAGCTATAGCACAAGCCTTGGACATGGCAGAAGGCCGAAGAGAAGCAGCACTAATCAGACTTGTTGCCTATCAATAGCAGCTCATCAAAAGTTTTGATAAGAAAGTTTTCCCATGACAATTCACACCTGGAGAGCTGGTTAGAGGAAAGTCATGGACCATAAAAAGGTGTCTGGCGAAGGGAAGTTAGGACCTAACTGGGAGGGTCCCTAAAAAGTCACAGTTGTAGCTGGGAACGGAGCACACTACTTGGAAAATCTCAAGGGCAAAGCCATATCTTAGCCCTGGAATATAGCCAACCTCAAAAAGCACTATCAATAGACTAGACCCGTAAAATTATCCGTCAAGTGTACAATCATTTATCCGTTTCTTAATGAGAGTGCTTCTTCCCTTCTTTGAACTTTTGTTTCCAGCACCTGTACAACTTTATGATCAAAATAGATTATTGCTTAACCCAGTCTTTCTAATCCAAGCACTGGGGGCATATTTCAAATAAAAGTGATTAGCTTTGGTGTCTACCAAATGGACTTAGCTTTAGTGATTACTAAACAGACTTAGCTTTGGTGTTTACCAAACGGATTTAGCTTTGACAAATATCAGACGGACTTAGCTTTGGTGTTAACCAAATGGATTTAGCTTTAATGATTGTTAAATGGATTTAGCTTTGGTTTTAACCAAACGGACTTCGTTTCGGGTTGACCGAACGGAATTTAGTTTTGGTTAGCACTCAAACACGGTAAGTGGAGTTGCTTGGTGGAATTATGTTTGGCAACTAAAAGGGATCTTAGCCATGTGGAATTGCTTGGTGGACACCACACAAACGAACTTTCACTAATCATTTTTCTTTTCTAGAATTTATAGAATTTCTTAAGTATAAACACATCAATACTTCTGTACTACTCCATACAATGCACAAGTTGGAATTGCCTTGGGTAATTCTTTCAAGATCAAGCTCCTAAACCTTAGTCTTACTCAACTCTAGGTGGGGGCAAACAATGTTTTTCCAGAACCAACCTGGACCTGAGCAAGACTTTACCTCTTTATATTTTTCATCACATTCAAGTATACTCCTAAAACAAACTTCAGTAAGTTCTGTCCAAGGGCAAAGATCTACAATGCCAATCTTACTTAGCTCTAGGTGGAGGCAAACAATTGTTTTTCTTGAATGCACTTGGACCAAAGTAAGACATTCTCCTTCGATTTCAAGCCAAGCATATCAAGTGACCAGACCGAGCATCTATTAAGCCCTGCAGTCCCAACAGTGCTCAGCCGGGGGGCAAACAGTATAGACATTGCAAGCATTAGAATAAGAAAGTATCAGACCATCAAATTGCAAAGATTAACAAGAAAAAGTTCCATCATTTAACCAAGGCACAACTGGC